CTAATCTAAAAGAACTTTAAAGAATTTTTCGATCGTCACGTGACTGTGAAATTTTGTTGGCGCACCTGGGTAAGATCCGCTTTAGACGGCCCTTATTTAGGATAAGTGATGTAGATTACTTATTATCACTTATTATCACATACCTATAAACAAACTGTAAAAATCGTAAAAAAATTGGCCAACTTCGTGACCAAGATCCTTTTGCATTTTATTTATAACCACCTTTAAAATTTCGCAATAAGAACCTTCGAATGCTAGAGAATATGCGAAATGATACCTATAAATAAACCAATAATTTCTTTATTGTCAAATAAGCTTAGAAAGTAAATTTGCCTAAACTTTACATATAAAATATAGGTGCGTCGATCATTTGATTCCATATTAAAAATTTTATAGGTGATATCTGAGATAGGGACCTAGAAATTTAAACTTTTGCCGGCTCGCAATTTTGAGAGGTTTTTAAAATTTTTAAAATTTGGCCAGGCCTCTAATCTGAGATATATGTAATCATATGTATTATATGTTTATATAATTTGACCAGTGCTAAAAGACCCTTAGACAGATAATGTTGTTAGCTGAAATTGTAAAAATATTTTGACATTTGGTCAAAATAAGGCCGTTCGAAGTTAATTCTTCGGTTAATATCACCCCAGCTGAAGTCGCGTACACTTATTTCTGCAAGTGATACAAATCCAAAAAAGGAAAATTTTCTATTTTCATGTTCTTTTATCGAAATAACATAACCGAATTTGCACTAGTGGCACGTGATTTATATCACTTACAGAAGTCTCCCTCCGAAAAATGAACAACGCTAAATAACTCTCATCAATAACTTGATTTACATCGATCAATGACATTAACCCATTTTTATATGTTCATTTCATTTTACACCTCTCCCAAGAGTTCTGAAAGTGATGTTAACCGAAGAATTAGCTTCGAACAACCCAATGTTAAAATGTCTAAATAATGTCTAAATTAAAAAAATATATAAACTTATTTATTAGCAAGTATCCGAACTTGTTCTTTTGTGAATTTCACACTATATTTCTTAAAATACATTTGATTCAAAAACGGTTGCTTGCCAGGTTTAATTATATAAATGATACCTACTTGAAATTTGTCTGGTTTTTTTTTACACAGTACCCACTATGCTAAAAGTTTATAACTTGGATCTGGATTGCTATCAATTTAAAAATCTGGTAATTTAATGTACAGGCCTTCTCTATTATTAATTTAGACATTGTCATATAGTATTTTATTTAATCAACTATTAGACATTTAGTCAAATATAGTTCGACACAAAATTGTCTAAATATTTGACTTAATAGGATATTTCGACTTACAACATTAAGACCAGACCGGTCAAATTGGTCAGATCCTGCTCGTGCCAATCCAATTATTTGACCAATAAGGCTAATGTAAATATGGTCCTTTAAAAAATTTGTTGGTTAAAGAATTTTTCTGATTCAAGTGATTCAAGTGATCTGGTCTATTAACTAAATGAATTGTTTGCATAAGATTGTATTTATAAACTCCCTATCTGCTATCGTTGTCATCACATTACCACCTTAAAATATAGCAGGTCAATCAAATTTCAGGAGTGGCCCGCATTACATAATTATTTACTAATTTCCGGCCGGAATTAACTTTTTAACTTTTTCATTCCAAAAATAGAAATTTTTAAAGAAAATTTCACTTAATAAACGGCTGTGATTCATTAGTAAAATTTTGAGTAATTCCGGCCAAATTTTTTGATCGTCGCTCTTAGCCAATCAAAATCGTGAAATTTCCTTGCAAAATTTTAGTATGAAGGCCATCCTTGACAAATAGAGTAACCAATAAAAATCCGTAATTTATACACACACAAACATCAGGGTGACGGACAATTAACCTTCATATCCTTCGGACAATTAACGTTTTTCTTTGATTTTAGATGGACTAAAAATAAACCACTATATAAGTAGTATAGTAAGACATTATATGTAGACTTATAAGCTTAACTAATTAACCGAATTTCATCATTGTCAGTGCGTACATACTTACATTGTAACCTTTTTTTGAATGTATCCTAGTATAAATTCAGAACATACAAAGATTAAATTGCTACTTGTACAGAAACAAATACGTTATTGTTTTTCTCCTTTTTTATTGTTAAAAGATTAATTGATATTTGTTTGCACAGGCTGGAACTGGAATTTAATAATGTGTATTACGAAATTGCTTAGCGCGATCCATAAGCATACTTTTGTTAAATTTTTGAGATAAAAAATCAGGAGTAATTATGATTACATGTCGAAATCAAATTTATTCAAAAATTTACTAATGAATTAGGTCATTTTACTCTACAGACGGACTTTAAAAGAGATCTTGATTTTCTATAAATGGATATCAATCTCATTCTCCATGTGATGGTGTGATGATTAACTGAAATATAGGGACTGTCATTTGTTTATCTATTTCCTTATTCTCACATTTCTTCCCACGAGTCAACAATAAGCCACTGATTGACGCATACAGGTATAAAACACCTTTTCTTCGACCGACCAACACACGATATTTTTTTGCTCCGAAGGGTAAGTATATCTGTTTAGAAATAAGTAAAAAAAAAACGTGTCTGGCTTCTAATAACGGTTTCTTTTTGTGTAGAAAACATCATGTCACCACCACGTCGCTCCACTACACGAATTAACAAAAGAGTCATGCCTGACTTTTTAAGACGATTTGGTGGATCTCAGAATGCAGTATCAAATGCTAGTACTGTACAATACGTTGGTGCTCATAATGCATGGGCTACTCTCGTGCCTTCGGACAATCGTGGCTTACCGTCTATTTATCTGACCGAAAAGGTGAATTATTTGGGAAACCAGCAGCATAATGAACCTGTATTTAAGGTAATTATTTTATTATTGTTCTTTACATGCTTTCAGTTCATTATTCATTTGTTTTTTCTCTTGTTTAGCGGTTACCAGCTGATCCCAGAATAGATATGATTCATTGTTCCATCTTCAAAGTATGTTTATCTTGGTTTTTCGCGTTGAATATTTAAGTTATCAACCTTTAATCTGATAATTTATTTTGTTTATTAGGAATATACTGAGGGTGTAGGAACGGTTGTTAAATTACAAAATCACAGGTATATCCAATTTCCTTATCGTTCCTTTATGTATTTATACGTGTTTTTATTATTCATTTATCCAAATTTTTGTCCCGCTATAGTCGAAACGGGGCTGTTAAGGTTTTGGAGCGTGAAATATTGTCAAACCATTATTTTGAGTTAAAAGAGGGTGATTGCATCAAATTTCCTTCATCAAGAGGTGATTGGTATAGCTATTCCATAGAGATCGACTTAAAGCCGGAAGGAAGATTTCATAATGATTTTAAGATCAAAGGTGTTCTTGGAACGGGTCACTTTGGGGAAGTAAAGTTGGCTACTCTCGCAAATGCCGTAGGTAATGAGTCAAAGTTTCAAGAATTTGCCGTGAAAATAATTGACAAAAATACCGTGGCAAAAAAACCAAACGCGAAGCTTCATGACGAAATTATTATAATGCACAAAATAGAACATGTAATTTATTTTTCATAAATATGATTATCATTATTATTATTTTATTTTATTTTTTTACTTTTTTTTTGACTGACTCATATTTAGATATTTTATTTAATCAGCCACATTTAGTTCGCATCCGTAACTTATATAATGAAGATGATAAATTATACCTTGTTATGGATTATATTAAAGATGGTGAATTTTTCGATTTTATATCAAAAAAAAAGAAACTATCTGAATATGAGGCTCGCGTTATTTTCAGACAGTTGTTTGAAGCGATGAAGGTATATTATATATATTTTATATATTTTATTTATTTATTTATTCATATAGTAAAATCATTTAATTCTATTTTTATTAGTATCTGCATGATCATCGTATCGTACATCGAGATCTTAAACCTGAGAATATCCTTATGTCAAACAAGGCAAAACTTGAAGTTAAGATAACGGATTTCGGATTGTCTAAACTTCTTGGCCCTGAATATTCTTTGATGAAGACTATGTGTGGAACTCCTCTTTACATTGCCCCAGAAGTCCTAGATCGGTCACCTAGGCGTAGTTACGGAAAAGCAGTTGACATGTGGAGTCTTGGCGTGATCCTATACGTCTGTCTTTGTGGGTATCCACCATTCGCCAAAGACTTTGGTCCACCATCCTTTGAAGAACAAATAAGGTCGGGAATATATCGATTTTACCCCCCCGCATGGTGTCATATTAGTAATGAAGCAAAGAGCTTAATAAGAGGTTTATTGACTGTCAATGTAAGAGACAGATTAACAGCTTCGCAGGCTTTAGAACATCCTTTTATGCAGGTAAATTCATTATAAATTTTTTTTATTTCTCGTATTTACAGATATTTATAACAATAAATTATATATACTTTTAAATCTTTATTCTTAATACTAGGTTTTACCATTACCTCAACCTGTTTCTGTCGTTCCAGATGTGGTCAATGCACCAGCTTTACCACGAGTTAATAGCAACGTCCAACCAAGCGATGAAGTTAAAATAATTTTCGCTCAGAAACTTTCCGCTCTATCTAAACGTGCTGAATCCGGCGATGACGTAGATGATACAAACGATGTCAATGATGCATCGTTCGTTACTGCTGATACGATCGTATCATCCAATTATTTCTCTCGACCCGGTCCTCCAGCTCAGGATGAATCCATTTATTATTCGGCCATTGAATTCAATTCTTCAAGTTTCGGTAGCCATTGTAGTGGTGGTAGTTTTACCTTCTGAGTGAAAATGGGCTCGGTTTTTTCATACTTCCCCAATTATAGAATTAAAATAAATGTCTGAAATGTTTAATGATTATATTGCAATTTTTCTTATTTTTAATTTGAATCTAAAATAATTAACTTGCAATCATTTATATAAATCATGTAAATAAATTTTGTGCGTTGTTACATTAGAACAAGTTAATTTGTTACACTAGTAGATACAGATTTTAAAAATATTTATTAATGATATAAAATTTGATTATCTGTTATCAAATAATTTATCTGTCAAAAATGAACGAACCTTCAATAATGAACCCTTTAAAAAAACAGCGAGGTAGACCACCAACAACGGTCGCAAGTAAAATTCGTTCGATTTTTTCACTTCGCCCCATTGAACAGACTTACTTTCGAGATTTTTCAGAAACTTTTATTCCACAAAAAAATTTTCCTGACATTTGGGCTTCACGAGGTACTAACGGCGAAAACAGTGCGAGTACCGTACCCTAATAATCTTGCTGGTGAGTTACTTTATTTAAAAAAGTTCTTTTACGTCGCTAACCAACTTTTAAATTCATTATTTTGTTTAAATACAGAAAATACTACTCCAGGTTTAAGCAAAGAGCAATTTAATGAACCGAATGTACCACTTCGTTTAAAGTTAGTCGTACGTGATGGGACTGAGGAAAAATCCAATATGGTTAGTTAATTAAATATTTTATATTAGTTATCCATGAATTTTTACTCAATAATATGCAATTGCTTTAAGGTTTCAGTGAAGCCACCAAGAAAAAAGAAACCTATTCCAATGGATCACAAAGAAGAATTGAACCTTTTATTAAAGTTAGAAAATATCGAGAAGCCTATGTCACTAAAAGCATGTAGATTAAAAAGAAAATTACATCTAAGAAGAGTATGTAACAAAAAATAATTGTATTTTTATGCGCATACAGGTTTAAAATTCACCATCTTTGAATTTAGCTAAAGCGAAGATTAGGTTTAAAAATATTTGACATTGACGCAACTGTTTCTGATCAAATGAGATCCACGTCTGCATTAGAATTGATGACAACAGCGGAGGAAGATCTTCATGAACTAAAGAAAAATGAAGTTAAAAATTTTGAAGTTAATAAATCATCTGACATTGAACTTTTAGACCAGATTGCTAAAGTATGATTTTTTTTTAAAAATATATTCTAGTAAATTATCAATTAAAATTTATATTAAAATGAAAAATTCTAAAAATTTTATGTTTAATAGATCACGCATACTCCATACAATAATTCATTCGCATCAAGACTGTATGGCAATCCTCGTTTGGCTACTACTCTTACTGTTGGTGAGCCTTGGACTAGTCCTTTTCGTAGAAAGCTAAGGCCATATATCCGTAGGGATTATGAAACCAAGCCACCAAAACTACGTTTATTACAAGAAATTGTCAAATATGCTTATCGGTGTGCGTTAATAAAGATATCTTAAAAATTTTTATTTTTCAAAATATTAATTATTTATTGATTATAGTAATGAACCAGATTGGCTGCCACCACCTTCTAGTCCTATTGATTTTTGTTATTTCCAAAAGGAACATTTGAGTCAGGTCAATGATTTGCTGCAAAGATGTTTTTGGCCAAGCATTGATGGTGTGTGAGTTCAAACATTTTCATATTAATTTCTTTTAAATACAATTATATTTATATTTCTGTTCTATTTAGTATCTGAGAATCTCCTTTTCCCAGATTTTAGTGTTGTAGCTATGTACAGGCGATTGGTGATTGGATGTGGGTTTATGACACCGGAAGCTTATATCACGTATATTGCTGTTGCACCTGGATGGGAAAAATCAGGAATAGGACAGTAAGTGACTATATAATTATTTTGATTATTAATGCATTTCTTAACATAATTATTAATTGAATTCTGTCATGCCCTTAGATTTATGTTGTATCATTTGATTCAGGTTAAATTTAAATATACATAAAATATATTTTTTCTTTGATATAAATATATCCACTAATATTTTTTTTTCTTAATTCTAGACCAACCTAGGAAAAGATGTAACTCTTCATGTGTCAGCAAATAATCCGGCAATGGTATGTTTAAATTTTGCATGTTTCTTTTTTGACAATGAAATAATTAATATTATTTTTATTCGTTTATATAGATTCTATATCAAAAGTTTGGGTTCAAACCTGAAGAATTTATTGTAAATTTCTATGATAAGTACTTACCTGATGGGAGTTTAGGATGTAAAAATGCATTTTTTGTACGCTTAAGAAGATAGGCTTATATTATATCTTATAATTTGTTTATTTATTTAATAAACTTTTTAGTTTTACTATTGTTTATATTATGGTATAAATTTCAATATATTTTGCGTTATAAGATTAAAGTTTTGTGTATTTTGGAATCTTTGAGTTTAGATTTGTATACATCTTTATAGCACTCTTATGAGACTAACGTGTTTTAATACTCGGAATGAAATAAAATGTTGAGTAGTTTACAAAATTACTAATAGTTATATATGAAAGTTGAAAATTTTAAGTAAAGGGGAAATATAAAGACAAAGCATGCAAGTGATTATCTCCGTTATCGCATAAGCACATGAATTTTCGAAGTTATATTGACAACTAAAGCAAATCAATGAATTTTTTTTAATTATACAAGCTTGTAGATTAGATAAGAAATAAAATTCATCAAATTTGCTTAGATGGTTGCCAAGATTTTTTTTTATTCAATGTTTAGTAAAGAATTAAAACGTCTTAGAAGTAGAGATAAAAATTACGACTGTAAACGAAGATATCTTGACAATCATCAAAGCAAATTCGATTAATTTATTTAATTATACAGACTGAAAGTTAAAATAAAAAAGCTTTAGTATTTACTTAGATAGTTGTTTGGCAAAAAATTAAATAGAAACGGGAACGTTTTTTTAAAAAAATTTGAAAATATCTAACCATCTAAGTAAAGTTGAACTTTTTTTGGAGTTTTGCTATTTGACGTTTGAGCAAATTTGCTTGAAATATATTATAATCTTACTAATATCTACTACTCTTACTCTAATATAAATTTTTAGTCTAATCGTAATACAACTTAATATTTAACTTTTAATCTAAATTTTATATACAATATTAATTGTCTAAATAAAAAATCTAAATTGAATTTTAACACACAACTCATCCCACTGATCACTTGTACACAAAATCATAGAAAATATTTGAGAAGTTTACCAAAAAAACAACTATCCAAACTGATTTTACAAGTCTAAAGAAAAAGATAAAATTTGTAAAGAAGGTATAACTACAGTAAAAAGAAGAAAGTAAATAACTTAATCAAAAAAATAGAGAAGAAAAATTCCTTGTTAATATTTTGAAAAATAAAATTTGGAAAATTCATTATAACCTGAAAATATAGATCTGTAGATCACAACAACACATAAACAAACAAACAAAACATATGGGTTGATTTTAGTTGATCTATATGATATAAGAATGTAATATCTCAATAGTTACATTAATCTGATAACAATGTAATCAATGCAGAAGGATCACTCTGTGTAAATGGTGAAGTGAGAAATTATATTTATAACATACATTTTAGAATAAATACAAAATAAATAATTTTATTATTGATTGATTACATTATGTGAAGGATTAACATATAATATTAACAGTTTCTTCATTTAATCAATATCATTCAAACCTTTTTGTTATCTCTTATGCTCTAAAAAAACTTATTTGACAGGAAAATCATTGAGATCACATGAAGTAAATAAACATACATGTAAACATGTTGTACCTTATAGCTTTGGGTTTGAGCTTTCCTCTAGTTGGTGCTTGTGTTAATTTCATTCAGTTTTTCTTGCGAATATAAAGTCCTGTTTTCATACTTACCAGTCAGCTCAAGGCTTAAAGCAATTTATTATATACTGTCATAAAAATTTTTTTTATTATATATTTCACTAAGAATTAGGTTTTGAATACTGGTCAGTTTAGCAAAAGTATAAATATACATATAAAGCAAGAAATGGATACCAAAAAATCAGCTATATTTTTGCATATCCTAGCTGAGGAAAAAAAAAAACAAACAAAAAGTGTGATTAAAATAGCAACTGAAAAGAAGGATCTTAAAATACAAAAAATGATTCAAACTGAGTTTGGGTTCTTTTAAGAAAAATGAACAACAAAAAAGAAACATAATAAAAAAACTTATACATGATCATATGGACTTTTAAAGTTTATATTTGAAATTTGTAAATGAAATGTAATTGTAATTTAAATTTATTTTTTTAAATTTATAATTCTTTTAGAATAAAATAAAAGCATTTTATTTAGATAATAATAAACCTGTCTATTTTCATATGAACACATTTTGTATGCTACAGATTTTAGAGAATTACTATCACCCATTATTATGCCTTTATAAAATAATTAAACATGATTATAGTTTTTTTTTTCAACACCTGAACATGAAAACTATTGTAAATATAAACTTTTTGTTTTAAGAAACTTCATAAATTTTGAAATATGGCATGCAAGTATATGCATATAAGGAGTAATGTCATCATGTTGATATAGTTTCTCTTGTAAAACTTTACTATTTCTAGTTTCAATTGTTGGTTGGCAAAACTTTTTAACTTACTATTGTGTTGATATTTCAAATTTAGTAATATCTTCATTTGTTTTTTTTTTTTTTTGTTTTTTTTTTTTAAGTTAAAGTTCCTATCTTGGGAGTTGCGATGTTTTTATTCAAGTATATTAGGACACAGCATGTCACCAAGGGCTCACCTTACATTGGAGGTTACAACTAGCCACATGTGCACTTTTGGTGCCTAATTTAAGTAGTCTGCTTACATATTACTATATAAGTTCTACACTAGTTGCCATATCTGCAAGCCAACTAAGGGTCTTGCCTATTTAAACCCTCTGCATATGCAATCCTTCTTGTATTACAGGAACATCTCAAGGCATCACCCATCCAAGTTCCTGATGCTTATCAGTCTCCTTAGGACTACTTTATCCTTGATAGGAAACTTACTAAAGCTTTTATGTCCTACACATCTAGACCTAGTTTTTATGCAACACACTATAGTTATCTAATACTTGCAGTCACAGGGGTTACCTGTTTAACCATTATGTTACACTATTTCTATCCTTGTAAAGTTTACTAGAACCCCAGTACTCATCTTTTCAGCATCTTCTCCATCATCCCTTACTAGCTGCAACTCAGAACCATCAGTCTCATTTATCCAGACTACCAATCCAGATGGCCTGGTATAGTATACTTCTGTATTCTTTTCCTCCAGCGAACCTGGCGGCCTGGTTGGTTATATGCTCCTCTACACATATTTGTCATCCGGTTTTAATCTTCGGTTCCTATGAAGGTGTTTCATGGGCTTCAACCGGTCCAATGGTACTGTCGAAAGTTTATGCTACCTCTTTACTCAGGAATTTCCAAGTGGGTTTCCGTTACCTCGGTTCCTTAGTCTTCTACGCCCAGTGGACTTATCATGGGTTTGTACCGAAGTCTTATGCAACACCAGTAACATTCCTCTATGTATTATTTTACATTATTATAGTATATATATTATATATATAACTATATATATATATAAAATGTTTATATTTAGGCTAGTTTAAATCTAATTTAATGATCATTAGAATTTATACTAAAATTGCCAATCAATTTTTGATCAGATCGATATTGCAATTTTAGCACAAGGTTTATAGTTCAGTTCTATATAGATTATGACAGCTACAGGTATTATATAGAATATTTATCTATTATAATATCTATATATATAGTTATATATATATATTATATTATAGATTATTAAAGATTTATAATAAGATATTTTAGCAATTGACTCAGATAATAAAGACCTTCATATTAAAAAGCATGGTGGTAAAAAAAAAAATCTTTACCCTTTTTATTACAAAATTATATTTTAAAATTCTAGTAAATAAAACATGCATTATTAATTTTATCTGTTGTTCAATTTAGATTTAATACTTGGATTTGAATTTAATAATTAAATTCAGATTTAATTATTAAATCCAGATTTAACAGATTCTTATATTTAAATTCAGATCTTACAATTAAATCTGGATTTAACAATAAATTCAGATTTAACAATTAAATCTAAATTTAATTATTAAATTCAGATCCAAGTATTAACTCTAGTTTGATCGATATAGAGACTCCAGATTACACAATTTGAAATACATCATGGTGTAATGTGATAAATTTAAATTGTGCAATATTTATATAAGAAACCTTATACATATTTTATATTGTTCTAACTTTGATTTATTACTACATATTTTTTTTTTATTAATACATTCATAATTATTACATTATAAATGACCTAAATTTTTTTTTTTTTTTTTTTTTTTTTTTAACCTTAAGCAGTTACGCTAGTACTTTATTAAGATTCTTGAAACTAAAT